CATGTAATACATACTCTGGATAAAGCTTCAGCATCTTCACAGTGAAAAACAGTGTTACAGAGAATTTAGTTAAATGACAGGCATTTAACTTTAAATTTGTGGAAAAGTTTTAGATTCTCAAGTTGAGACAAAGCAGTTATTACAACTCTAACTTGCATAAGAAGACTTACTGATTCAAAAATTGCAATTCCATTAGCACCGATATTTCCACTTGGTGTTACTCCAAGACCGCCGATCAGTCCTGCACACAAGTCACTGAAAAAAAAAAACAAAACCAAAAAGAGAAACGCACAAGTTTTTCCATATAAAGTTGCCTCTCTGCAAGGTGTTAAGGTTGTTTCTTATTTTATTACAACGAAAACTTCCTTTATATATACCCGTAGAGTCTGAGAATAATATTGGGAAAGAACAGATGCTGTTAGCAACTTGTACTCCATTGGAACATTTTAGAATTTGTAGGAAACAATTTAATGAAGGAAGATCAAAAGAACATTCCAAATATTAGAACTGATTAAGAAACAGGCACAAGAAAAGTAGTCAAAGCTGAAACATACTGATAAACAAGGCTCTGAAAACTCTGCTCTTTTGGCACGCTGGTTTATTGCCTACAAGTTAGCTAATGAAAGACTAACAAGCAGAAATGTTTGGGCTGACCTTGCAGAACAGTATTTTAAGCTAAACCAAACTAATTAGCTTTAGTTATATGGAGTCTGGGGAAAAATACAATCTACGTGTAGGTAACAGTCGGCGTTTGTCTCTGTAGGTATTTAATGCTTCAAAGAGATTTCTTCTGTACCTAATCAGTACGTTTGGCATTATGTTCAGCTTTAAAAAAGCACTGTGGGTGAGACTTTCCCAGTGACAAAGGTGCCCTTCCTCAAGAGCACACTCAAATTTGTTGACAGTTTTTAGAACTATGAAATTCTTTATGGAATTACTATAACAACTTTAAAATCAATGATACTGAACTGGATAAAGTGAGTTGAAATAGTACCGATGATGCAACTCATCTCATTTTGATCTCTTTAATAGCGTAACAGCTGCTGTGAGGGCCCTATGGACTCCTCTGCTAATCCTTAAAGTAAGAAGCATTAGTTGGAGTCCCAATTTTCCTTAGAGGTGACAGACAGCCTTATCACAGAGAGTGCAATTTTCAGAGAAGCTCAACAAGCCTTTCTTTTTATACGTAAGTTACCTCTACATGTCTTATCTGTACAAAAACAGGAGAAGGGATTCTAAGATATAAATCGTTGTTGAACTTGTAACAAACTGATTCAGGCTATTTTCTTAACCTCTCCTTAGAGAGGTGCAAGCAGAAGCAATGGCATGTTAAGACACCTAGAAGTTCAGATTACGATATGTGATTTTACACACAGTACTTCACACGCACGCATTGTCCATTTACAGACAGGACAACGTGTGCTGATGGATTTTGCCTTCAAGATGTCAAGGAACGCTGGCATTAGTGTTACTTCAATACGAAATTTAATTGGAAGATAAGCTCAAAATACAATACATAAAACAGGAGCTGGTACGATATCAAGCGGCCACACATCTCATTGCTCAGTGCCTATGCCACATCATTGAACTGCATAGCTTGATGTAAGCGTCACGGTTCCAGTCATTTTACACAATCTATTTTAGTGCTTAACATGACAAAGTTTTTCCTCATATCTACCTATATGTTCTTTATTACAATGTAAGCCATTGAATTCATCACACATTTGGAGAAACTTCCCTTCTGCTGCACCTGAACTCTATCCATAGCTTCTATAAGCAGAACTTTTTGGGTTTTTTTTAAATTAATAAGTACATTCTCATCATATAGCCCTCCCAACAATGCATTAGTAATTTAAGTGCAATAATACCATCCTTTCCTCCCATTAAAGTCTGATTTATAAAGTTTTAAACTCGGGACACATAAAATCATCACCCATCTGGCTAGCACGTAACCTGAATAACTGCCTGGAAGGTCAAGTACTTTACATGTCGGGTTAGTTTAAATTAAAATCTCCATACCTGAGGATGTCACCATACAAGTTTGGCATAACAAGCACATCAAATTGTGATGGATCTTGAACCATCTAGAAAGAAGTATATTTTCATTAAGGTTAAGAATTTAAACTAAAAAATAACCACAATTAAAACATTAAATACTCACATTCAAACACACGGTATCCAGATACATTTCATTAAATTTAATGTCTTTACAGTTTTCTGCTGCTTCCCTGCATTTTCTCAAGAAAAGCCCATCAGACATTCTCCTGCAATTAAATAAGCACGAGAATATTGCAGTTATTATACGTAAGCAATACTGAAGATAAAACTGCATGTAAGAGAGGATTAAGTAAAAATATTATGTGCAGAAACTTAATTTGTGACTAACTGTCCCATATGTTAAATATAAATAATTATTTAAATATATTACAGTGAGAGAAGTTATGCCTTTTAGATTTCCTCCTAGAATATTTTTTTATCAGTTTAACAGGCATACCTTAATTCTCAGAATGACTCATACTTGTTTACTAAAGGCTTACTGAGTATGTAAAGGTGGTGTCACATAATATCATCTCTGTAATGACTTGATTCAGTACAAAGTGGCTTGGAAACTGTAGAAGGCACTAGCCATCTTCATCCTCAGTTTCTAAATTATTTTTCGTAGTCTAAGGCTATTTTTAAAATAAGAGCTTTGCAAGGAAAGTCACAGGAATACCACAAACTTACTAATGAAAACATCACTATATGTCATTATTACAGCCCTATCAATACTGGGTCAGTATTGCCCATTTTACTTAGGAGGCATTTACTTATTTTACTTACTCCCAGCAGCATCAACAGAAGTTCATAGTTATTTCATAGAAGTTATGCACTTGAGGAATATATAAAAAGTTATTTATAATTAAATGCATATTACTGTTGTTGTTCTCAAAAAGAAATGCGACATACATAATGTTTGCCTTGTGCACAGCAGTAACGTGGCTTCTCTGATTATTTCTGGCATACTCAAAAGCAAATTCTGCAATACGCTTGCTGGCTTCTTCTGTGATCAGCTTGATACTTTGCACAACACCATCAACAATCTGAAAGACAGCAGTTGCATTGATAGTAAAAAATGTAAGCTCATTTTTCAAATCACTACTATGAAGGTTTGTTAACAAAGCAGTAGAATTCTGAGTGAGACAGTCTCAACCATGCATTTCACAAGAAAGGAACTTTTCCTGTGGGTAGCAAGCACCACCCAGCATCTTAGTACCAGGCTGCTGAGATGGTCTAGAAATTATCTGTCATTCATGAAACACAGAAACACAACTTCCAACAACATACCACATGCTCAATCCCACTGTATTCGCCTTCTGTGTTCTCTCGAATTGTGACAATGTTCACATCTGTGTAGGGGGTTTTGTACCCTTCAATTGAGACACAGGGACGAACATTTGCATAAAGGTCAAAGGTTCTACGCAGAAGCAGATTCATTGATGGGTGCCCTGCAGCAATTGGGGTCTTTAAAGGCCCTGAAGAAAAAAAAGAAAAACAAATACAAGAATGAATGAGAAGATAAACCCCTCCATGAATTTTAAAAGGTGAAATTCCTCGTGAGGTGGTACACTTCCAGAGGATCTCCAGGTTCCTATTTAACCCTTATACTGAAGCACCACAGGAATTCTGTGCCAGCCCAGTGATACTGTGCGACCCGCTGTTCTAAAGGCCAAACTGCAACTCTCACATGAAGATACCTGAGGAATATACTTATATCCTCGTGTGTCAACAGCATTAGAAATGCATTCTGCACACAGGTACTGCCCCTTCCGCCTACTTCCTAGAGATCTAGGAAAGTTATGGCTTCAAGTTATGGCCTGTTTTGAGATTAGAGAGACAACATGACAGGCTGTCCTCTATACTTAGACATCTGATTGTGCTACATGTGAAGGATTTTGATTTGAAATCAGACTCATGATAAAAACAACAGTATTTAATATCTTTGTATTAACCCTTTAAGTACCTTTTAATCCCATTTTGTTTTTATCCATGGATTCTTTGGCCTCTGGAGGTATCATCCACTTCCCTCCTGGTCCTTGGATAGCTGTGACATTCCTCTCCTCCCACTGAATAGGAGCCTAAACACATTTACTCTATGTTAACTTAAATATGACTTTTGCTTCAGGTTTTAACTTCTCTTTCATAAAAAGGCACATAAGGAATTTTATCCAGGTCTTCCTAAACAATTTTTCTCTGGTGAGCAAGAGTAAGCACATGTTCAAACTCAAAAAAACCCGATTATGAAAAAAAAATGTAATTAAGTGAAAATGAAATAGTACAAGCAACTTACCATCATAAACTGGAATACCATGATGCCTCCCTCACTGTTATATGCACAGAAATTGTCAGAATTGCAATATACATGCTATCTGTTTCAAGCTCCTAGAGCTCCTGAGTTCCTTGTATACAAGAGACATGACATTTGAAAAATGAATTCATTGAGAACTCATCATCCATTCTGCCTGGAAAACAGTACATAGCGTAGATATATATCTGTTATCTAACTAAAAATCTGCAGATGTTCCACAACGCTCTCTGAATTTGCATTCATCACAGCAATCTTCTGTGAGGAGGAGGCAGACACCCACTTATTTAATCAGGAAGGACCATAGAGGAAAAGATACAAGAGTTTTCATAAGCAACAGAACCAATCTAAGCATAACATAGCAGAGAATCCCCTTTAAAACGAAGAAGTTGGATTAAACACACAAACTGAGGTTTTATTCCTCCACAGTTCCTGCTAGACTGCCCAGAAACAACCAGAACTGCTGCAAGGTTTTCATACATAATTAGAGAACTCTAAGGTCCCTTCTAGCCTAGGCCATTCTATGATTCTAACTTTGCTTTTGCCAAAGCTACGTCAGGTATTTGTAAGAGAAAGGGAATAAGCCCTTGGTGCTGTTACTAATGGGGAACAATTTAACAGGCATCTTTTCTGAAGGGCTATTATTTCCTTCCAAGGAAACTTGACAAATTCTGGTGAAGTTCCTTGGACAGGTAGTAAAACAATTTTTGGATATACTTAGTTTTATATCACTTAAGTGAATGTGCTTGCCAGTGCAGCAGTTGGATTTCTAAAAAGCCAGTCTTTTCACACACACTTTGACTTGCACTGGAAATCACAATGAATAAAAGAACATCAGTTGCTCATGATCGATACATCAGCAAGGTGTTTTAAAATTATATACTGAGTTCATATTTCCAAAAATGAAACACAGCATTTGCTTGCAACTCTCTACTCCTCTGCCAGCTAACAGTTTCAAGCCCTGCCTTGATATCAGAATCTCATTTTTTATTAGCTGAAGCTTCACACTCGTTCTAATGTCAAGAACTTTTAATAGCTTGACCATGACTTGATCTTCTGGACATGAAAGAGAAAACATTTTTAATACATCTAGTTAATACTTGTAGTTAAACTTAAAATGCCTACAGCAAGACAAATGCAACTTACTTTGGCAGCATCAAAGATCTTCATGACAGCAGCAGAAATCTCAGGTCCTATGCCATCTCCTGGGATTAAAGTTACTGTTTGTACCTAGGGAAAGAAATATCAGTAGTACAACAAATGAATGCTTGCTTTCTATGTAGAAAACATTGCCATGTGTTGTAGGAACCAAGTAACTACTAGAATGGAAAATAAAAGAAAGTTTCAGCTACCAAATACTCACTAGGAAGCACAGCAGTACAGGACAGAAGCAAGAATGACTGGCTTGCTTTCAAAGGGAGCGTGCAAACGTTTTGGGAGAATCGTTTAAAAATCTGCCTACTATCTATTCTTATTTCAAAACACAGAGGTTTAACCTGAAAGGCAGTTTCCTGCTCAGTTGTCCTTGAAATGAATGATGTTGGCATGCTTTCTTCTTGAAATTTGGAGAGGAGGTGGTATTACCTAGTTACGGCTCTGTTACCCATATGTCTCTAATATTATCAAGGCGCCGCACTATACTGACACATGCTAGAAAAGATTCCATTTATGAAAAGCTACATTCACCTTGAAAAAAATAATGTCATGTATATCTAAACCTCTCAAGTGACTTCCTAAAAATCTCAGACCCATTTTTAATAATACCAAGCGATTTTCCTTCCATAATGTTCTCAGTCTTGTTTCTTTTATCATCGTCAAACAGATGAAATAAACTGCACAGCTCAGACTCACTGAATAACTTGGGAAGGAAGTACTCTGATCAAACAAACATCATCTCAACTCTTTTTATTTAAACATTACCAGCAGTTTTATAAGGGCTCATGATCACCTACCAAAAAGGCAGCTCAGATACAGCATTATTTGCAACACCCCAATTAGAATCAACTCACAAGATACATTTCCATCCTTCTTCACACAAAATATTGAGAATTTCAATATACATTGACTGATTTTTTAACTGACTTGAGCCAGAGATTTGCTGTGCACATTAAAAGCAGCAGAGCTTTAGATAAAAGACCACTGTTGCTGAGCAAGCAGGTAACTGCTGGAATGCCTCAAGATCAGTTTTGTGCTCCCTTGTGGTGTTGCTTCACAGCACAACAGGGCTCCCCCTCAGCCAGAGAAATTTTCATCTGAAATAGCAACGTGATATAAACAGAGCCCAAGGTGCCTCACCTTCTAAACATTTTCATACTGTGTAAGACAGGAGTGACACTTGGGTTTCTAACTGCTCTACAAAACTGGTAATTAAAAGCCACAGCTCCTCTTTAAGTCCTGCTTAAGGGTACATGCGGTGGTTGAGAGCCCTGCTTCTGCCGGAGCAGTTTTCAAGGCCACCTTCAGTTAAAAAAAAGGCCTGTGGGCATTTCAAACATATACACATAAACGAAAGGTAAAAAAAAGGAAACACACAATCAGTGTCTAAAATATTTTAAAGAGGGCCTTGAAAAGACGGGACTTTAGATGCAGGGTACTCTAAAAGCAGCAGTAAAATAAATCTAGTGCTTGGAGAGAATTCTGCAAAAAAAAAAAAAAGAGAAGCTTCTCAACAATCTTTCTACTTTGCTCAGTATTTTCCCATTTGCATATGAGTTTCAGAAGACTGGCTTGTACTGATATTTTGTGAAAACTTTTCGTGCCACTTCTGTCCTTTGCTAGAGCCTTTTCTATTATCGCTCACGCTTGAATATGCAATTGCCAAAGACAGTAATTAATCAGTATAAATCCAGCATTGCGTGAAGAGCGTGTATGTTCACTTGTTTAGGCCTTATTTTTTTGGAATGTAAAAATAACGATTTTATAAAAGTAAGTTTCAGAACCCCTTTCTTGAGAAACTTCTTAAAAGAAAAAAATGGTACTATTATACTCACAGCACTACTAAAACTTCTGGTCACCTGTTTTTGGTTTCTGAAAGCACCTAACAATCGAGAAACCTGCAAGAATATAAACCAAAAAGATTATATTTTACTACATAAATGGCATTTTTAAAAGTAAGCAAGATTGCAGAAGACAGGAATTTTAAAGCAGTATGATTTTAAAATGCAAATCTCCAACTAGTATAAAAATCCAAATGAAACAAGAGTAAGTAACGCTGTGCCAAGCTGCTCTCTAACCTTCTGTGCACTATCACCCCGTGGCTATTCTTAGCACAAGGTAAAGCCAGGAGAGTCGTGCTGCACTCTCCTGCCTTGCCTGGGGCTGAGGGGAAGACACTGCACAATAACCCGAGTCCTTACAGATTACACATTTGAAATAAGGTTGCAGTAACTCTAATTAAACAGATTATGTGCTAATGATTAAGATTCCTGGAAAGCAAAGTGAAGAATCCCACACTTTCACTAACAGTTGGGTGGAGAGTATCTTTACACGTTTTAGGTAATGCTTCCAAAATTATTTTGCGTCGGTGTCACTTCTTCCAACTGTGGTGAATTTTGTTCTTCCACCTTCTACACCTGTAGGCTTTATACTGTCGCCCTCTGCACACCTGACAGTTTTTAAAAAGCAAAACTGAAATGCACATTAGAGGCAAGTATTGCCATAGCAACAAGTGTACACAGCATAGTCAGAGAATTACACTTTCTAACATCTGAATATTCCAAACTGGCAGTAAGCTTCCAAACTGGGATGGTCTCTCTCTCTTGACTTAGCTGAGCACCACGGACAAAATCCCCGGTCATATCACTAGTGATACTTAACTGCAGAAAAATCACAGCCTCCAAATCTTAACCTCCTCTCAGATTTTTCATGTCTCTGTGACTTAAGAGTCAGAAGACTTCCAAGTGTAAACAGCCTTGGACTATTTGAGTTCTCCCCTACTCACGTACACAGCCTGTCTGCAGCTATCAGGCTAGGCAGGAATGTATTTGATAATTTGGATTCCTCTCCTGCACAACTCCTGTTTGTTCTCTTTACACATGTACACATCCAGGGAGCTGTGTGGCAAAAGGGACAAATTATGTCGGCACTAAGAAATAACAAGAAACAAACCAGTTCTCACTATGTCGTAATGAATGCTGCGGGAGAAGTAATTCAAGCTAGAATTTATTTTTACTTGTAACCCAGCATGAGATGTACAAGGCCACTGCCGCATGTACAAGGTCACTGCAGCAGACAACCAACGTTCCCCATAGCAAGCCATATATCTGAGGCAGCAGCTGGAGCAATGAAATGAAAATATGAGTTGACTACACAAGTGTCAGTGCCCTCGTGGTGCAGCTCCCACGTGGAGAATCAAGATTCCCGATCCAGAGTAGCTGTGGAAAGGGAACAGTCTGTCTTGCCACAAGTCACGGGCCTGGTGTATTAGAGCACATCTGTAACACTAGCAGAGAACCGGGCTAAAGAAAACTGATCCGGTCTGAACCTTGAAGCCATGTGTCACGATTAACTCTTGACAGTTCTTCCGGGTTTTAGCCGTTACGCACGAGCGGGGCTTCCTCGATGACTGAGCCCCCAGCAGGCTTTTATTTAAAGGCGCAAAAGAAATTTCATTTACCCGA